ACTTCACCGCACATACCCCATACTGGCAAGAGGTACCTAAAATGTGTAAGAAAGAAGGCATTATAAATTTGAAATTTGCTTTTGTTGGACAAATAATCTCGACTCTTATATAAGGCAGATAGCATTGAAACTATTTTATCACAAATTCCATTTACGTGAAGTGACCAATTTAAACTTTCATCTATCAGTAATCCCAAATATTTAATACTTGACACTTTTTCTAGCGCTATATTATTTATGTTAATATTTAGATTATTGCTAACTATCTTATTTTTTTGTTTAAATATAATGTATTTTGTTTTTTCAATGTTAATTTTTAATCTATTCGAAAACAGCCATTTAAGATAACTATTCAGGTCATCATTAATAAGATTCCTTAAAGCAATTTCGTCTGTTCCAGTATATACCAGTACAGTGTCATCTGCAAAGGTAAAATATCTTCCCCTCAGATTGGCCAACTTGAGATTCAGTACATAAAGACTGTATAACAGAGGTCCAAGAACTGACCCCTGTGGTACTCCATAGGTGCTAGATAACCATTCACTATCAATGTCTCCAAGCTTTATGTACTGTTTTCTGTCATATAAATAAGACTTAATCAAGCTGTACAAAACACCTCTAAATCCCATTTTAAACAATTTATCTAAAAGAACGTCTACGCTTACTACGTCAAAAGCTTTTTTTAGGTCAATGAAAACAGCTACAACTATTTGTTGTTTATCTAGAGCCATTGAAATGTAGTCCACAAAATCAACAACCGCACTAAGTGTGCTACTGTTCGTTATAAAACCATATTGAAATTCATCAATCAATATATTGTGAGTAACAATGAAAGATAACATTCTTTTTTTTATTAATTTTTCTATAATCTTAGAGAATACACACACCACTGAAATAGGCCTGTAATTGTTCATACATTTAATATCTCCCGACTTAAAAAGTGGGGTTATTTTAATTATTTTCAATTCTGATGGAAATATTCCTTTTTGTATAGTTTCATTGATTAATCGTACTAAAACAGGTATTAAGTATTCTCCAAGATTATTTACATCCTTAACCGTGATACCGTCATATCCAGGTGCTGAGTTTATTTTTAGTTCTTTCACAACTTCCAACAACTCTTCTTTATTAGTCAATGTTATCGAAATAGAATCTTCGTTGTGAACCTCACCAACAGAAATAAACTCATTCAACTGCTGAATCTCTGCTTCCAAATTTTCAACAATTGATCCACCGACCCGAGAAAAGTATTTATTTAAATTGTTTGCAATATCAAGTTTAGTGTTAATAATGTTATTTTCAGTTACTAGTTGATCAATTCTTACTTTATACTCCTTATTTTTTATTAGGCTGTTTATAAAAGCCCATTGTTTCTTTACATTGTTTCCAGCTAAACTCCATTTAGTTTGGAAATAACGGTTCTTCAAAGCACGTATTTTATTGTTTATTTTATTTTTGATGTTTTTAAATTCAGAGATGATAGTTAAGTCTTCTGGTTGGTTAATCTTTCTTTTATATAATTTATCTCTTTTTTTGATAAGCTCAAGGACTTCATTATTTATCCAGGTGTTATTTGTACGTATTCTTAATTTTTTTATATATACCGATTTACTTTTGCAGTCTTCAATTAAATTAATTAATTCTTGAAAAGTTGTTACATTTTTGCTTAAAATTTTTTGTCTAAATAAGTTTACACATTTTTTATAATCTACAGATTTTACCTCATAATCAACTTTTGGTTTATGGAACTGCACAGATGTTTTAATATCAAGTAATATAAGTTTATGATCCGAAATTGCATTTTCTTTAACACTGACTCTACAACTTACATTACTACCATAATCGCTAAGAACATGGTCTATAACAGATTTTGACGAACTGCTAACTCTAGTAGCACACTCCTCATTTATCGTATTATTAATTTTAAAACTGTTTAATGCTATTAAATCTTTGTACTCCTTGGCTACTTGTGAGACTTCTAGCAAATTAATATTCATATCCCCAACAATTAAATGATTTTTAGGATGAGTACGCATAATAGATTCCAAACAATGAAAAAAATTTTTACTATTTACAGATGGTGGTTTATAAATAACACTAATTTTTAAGTTTTGTTCCCCTAAGCTAATACATATCCAGTTTATTAACTCACATCTGTTTGACTTCTCAATTTCACGAAATTTAATAGATTTCCTCACATAGATAGACACACCACCTCCTCTACCAGTCCTGCAGGAATGAACAGCATTATAGCCATCCAACTCAAACAAGAATGTTTCACTTTCTTCCAACCATGTTTCAGCTGCCAACAGTATATCCCAATCTTCACTTACAACCAAACACTGCACCAGATCCAGTTTATTTCTAATACTTTGCAAGTTCATGTAAGCAATTTTTAGTTGTTCACGAGGCCTTACTAGTTTTCCAACTGACTTTTATTACTAATACGAAGAACTTTTGAGTTTTCGTCCTTCCTTAGGAGGATATTACCATCTCCAATCCAAAGGAACTTATAATTTCTGTCTTTCTTAAAAGCCTTGGCTGCCATGAATAAATCAAGATTTTCTTTTGTGAGTTCATGGTTGAGAAATATTTTATTATCTGTCGTATATCCCAAATCCGAACTTTTAAGGCCAAACTTCTTTCTTGATTTTAAAAATTTTATTTTGGTTGATTCATCTTCAAAGATGACTTTAACAGGGTTGTTTTTATTGTTATCCCTGCCCAATCGAAAAGTCGTAAACCTGTTTCCATTCGGGACGTCAAGGTAATTGCCAATTTTATTTATAATGTCAGGTAAGTTCTCGTTTTCTTTGTATGGAATTCCTTGAACCAACAAGTTGTTTTTAAGTTCCTTTTGTTCATTTTTGTTTAACTGTTGCTTAATTTGGCCGAGTTCTTCCTGTAATTGTTCGTTTATTTTTAATTGCTCGTTATATTTAGTAAATAATGCCTTATATTTATTATCCATCTCCTCTAATTTTGCCATGACATCGGCCAGAGTGTAATCCCTCTTCGCCTGTGAAACAAAACCAGGACCATCTTTGGTCTTACATTTGCCACAAATCCAATCATCATTGGATTTACTTAATTTAAGATATGTTTTATTTGACATTGATAAGCATTCTTTATGTTTCCATATGTTGCACTTATCGCATAGTAATGCTTGACAATCATCAAAAACCTCCTTAAGACATATGTCGCAATTATCAGTCTTGGTTTTTGGCATTTTAATGCTGATAGGATAATCCGAAAGTTACGGCAACTCCGCTGGAGGTTCACAGCAATACCCAGCCTCCCAGTGCCTGGTGTCAATGTATAGAAGCGCACGGGTCAAAGTACAGTTGGCGATAAATGTCGTCCAATTTCGGCGATTTGAAGCAAAAAGAAGATCTTAGGCACTACAAAGCAGCGTTATTGTTCTATGTATCGTAATGCTCGGATTCATCGATAGCACAGTAATTAAATGATACTATTTAACACTAATTTTGGAAAATATTTGCAGAACGATTCGTAAACACAACTTGACCGGTTATTCATTTAAGAGATTTGAGATGCTCAAATAAAGAATGTCAATCAAAATTATGCTGACACTAGGATCTATGGTGATTTTTTTATTGAATTTTATTCCACTCCAATAGGCCCCTGATGATGTCGCTGACTCGTGGTTCACAGAAAATTCGTTCTGTTTATCACTGTCTGTCAGAACGATCTGTGAGACCATAACATTTGGTTAAAGTTTTTTCAGAAGGTCTATCAGATGTAGTTGCCAAGATACTAGAGTCTGGGAGAAAAAACGGAAGAACAAAGGGAGAACAGAAGGGGGAGAATAAAGAGGAGGAAGCACGTCGTTTGGAGGGGTGCCTGAGTGTTGACTGAGATTCAGGAATTTTAAGAAGTAATTCTGAATTTGCTGTGGATAAAAATGTGAACGTCATTGGTCCTAGATTTGAAAGAATGTATGTAATTCATACTCTAGGGCGCGGTCATGTGTGACTGTGAGCTTGTTAGACTGTATAGTCCAGGAGTTCCCAACCAGGGGGGCGCGCCTCCCAAGACGGGTATAGACAGATAACAAGTGGGCGGAAAGCGTTTGCATTTTAGAAAGAAAAAACAAAAAATAAACAAACAACATTAACAAATAACAATACAATGTAATGTTTAATTTACACGCATGAATAATTTCAAAACTCGGCGTCGTCAATCGCAGTTTATATCAGTTTGGACAAGTCACAACATGAAATCCGCGCGCACACCCGCCGCGCTCCGCTTAACATTCATCACTAAGAAACCAATTGTGTACCTACCAGACGCAGATGAGCATCTGTGACATTCATTCCAACAAACTTGCGAAAAATTTGACATGTTTTGTTGAGAAATCTGAGTGTGTCAAATTATTGTGTCTCACTGTTAAAAGGTGAGTTTGTGTATTTACAAACTTCAGTTACCATTTTTATTTAATTTACTAAATTGATGATTCGAGTGGAGACGCGTTCATCGATCGGCCATTGCGATTTTTTTACCACATCACAATTAAACCAACGTGGCGAAATATTTTAAAACGACGAACTATGAGTACCTAATATTGATTGAAAATGTATTTAAAAATACTATTATAACGTCAACCTGCCTACAAAAATATAAATCTCCCGGCAGCCAGTATACCCTTGTATACATTACGTTATAAAGATAAAATAATGGGCATACAATTAGTTATTACATGTAGGTATTTTGGTTATTTATTACTTATTTGTTTTATTGTTATAGGTGCAAAATGGCAGCGAAAAAAAGATAGTTTTCCGAAGATTACGTTAAGTTTGGATTTACCTTCATAGAAAGAGACGAGTTACAATTGCCTCAGTGTGTGATATGTATGAAAGTTTTAAGTAACGATTGCATGAGGCCCAATCGCTTTGAAAGGCATTTGAAGCAACAACATCCTTATCTGGTTTTGAAGCCGAAAGAGTTTTTTTTCTTCTAAAGCAGAATCACTCAAGCGGATGAGACTGGATAAATCGGGAAGTTATCACACAGGTGTATCGCAGCATCTCAAAACTTCACTTGAAATAGCTTTTATGACAGCAAAGCAAAAGAAACCTCATACTATCGGTGAAGAATTAATAAGACCATGTGTCCTGAAAGCAACGCAGATAATTTCAGGAGAAGATGCAGAGCAAAAAATGAAGTCTATTTCTCTATCGAATAATACAGTCAAGCGTAGAATCGATGAGATTTCAGCAGACATAAAGTCACAAATAATTAATAAAGTAAAATAATCGCCATTTTTTACCATTAGATGCGATAAATCCACCGACATCGTTCATTGTGCACAGTTAATAGTTTATGTTCGCTACATCGGCGGAGATATCATTCAAGAAGAGATTTTGTACTCCCAATCTTTGACAGCAGGTACTACATCTGAATATATATTTAATTCAATATCAAATTTAGTTGAAAAAAAAATGATTTGAATTGGAAGAAACTCATTGGACTTTGCACAGATGGCGCACCTGCAATGATAGGTGTACGATCGGGCTTAGCTAAAAAGCTCAATGAAAAAAAAATCCCGCAATGGTTAGTAAACATTGTGTCATTCATCGGCAAGCTTTGGTTTCCAAAACGTTGCCACAGAAATTATGCCAGACTTTGGACTCGGCTATAAGGATTGTAAGCTACATCAAGAGCAGCGGTTTGAACAGTTAGGTATTTACTTTACTTTGCGAGGATCTTGATTCTGATCACAAAGTTCTTCTGTTCCATACAGAAGTACGTTGGCTGTTCAAAGGCAACATGTTGGCTCACCTTTATGAATTGAAAGAAGAGGTAATTGTTTTTCTTGAATTCAAAGAAAAACACGATTTCTTGACAATGTTCAAAAGATGACACATTTCAATGGAGGTTGGCTTATTTAACTGACATATTTGACTCCTTGAATGAGCAAAACTTGAAACTTCAGGGCAGAAACAACACTATAATAAGCAATTATGATTATATTCAGGGGTTCATATCAAAGCTTCAACTTTGGAATCAAAAAGTGTCTTCTGAAAATGTTATGTCTTTTTCTCTTCTGTTCGAAGCAATTATAACATACTGGAAGCAAATTTAAAAGCTGCCATAAAAACTCATTTGCAAGCGCAGGAAGACGAATTTCGCCGATACTATCGAAACATCAATTCAGAGTCACCAATATGGCACATGACAAGAAATCCATTTGTTGTCGATGTGTCACAATTACCAGATGAAGTTCAGGAAGAATTTCTAGAAATGAAGGCTGCTTTACGAATACTATAGTGTATTTACACCCAAGATAGAATGGATGCGTGATTACCAAAAGCAAGGACGGCGTTCAGGGCCGCATTCAGGGCTACCTCCGAATGATGGACTACCACCAACGTGTTGTAAAACAAAGATGACAGTATTTAACAGAAACTTAACAAATTACTCAAATACACTTAACAACAACAACAGCAACAACCAAGCAAGGTGAAAACGAAAACACGAGCACGGACGGTGGCCTGAGTGTAACTCTGCCTGCCCTGCCCCTGCCCCGCGCATTATTCCGCCAGGCGACCGCTTGAAATTTAATGGCGAATTGACCAATAAGAGGCGTTGTCCCCACCTGTTACCGATAGATCACGCGCTAACTGTTATTATTTACATCTCATCTTGAATTTGGATTCAGTTTAGTTCCTTTTTCTTCAACTTACTTATGTGAGATAGGCTATTCTGCTCTAGTTTTAATTAAAACTAAACAGCAAAATCGTCTTGATGTCGATAGCGACCTGATGATAGCTCTGGCAAAAACAGAACCTAGAATCAACCAACTGGTACAGGACATGCAATCTCAAGTGTCTCATTAGTACCTACACTTATTTTATTCAAGTTTTTCGATAAAAAACATTTATTAGTTTATTTAATTTTTTAAAGTTTCTTTATTAGAATTGAAATAAAAGTCTTCGTTTCTATATAATGTGCGTTTTTTTGTATTTATTGAGAAAGTAGGGTAGGATCGCCTAAGAGTACGCGTTCCATAAGAGTACGCGATCGCCATTTTTTTATTGTTATCCCCGCCAGTCGGCTGTCGTCTCGTCAGTAGTTAGTTGTTAGTTGTCCCAAGAGTTTGTGTAGTTTTGCTGACAATTTTTAACAAATGCGTAACATATATGCGGAAAAAATAGTTTTCCTGAAATTACATGTAATATTTTGAACTTACTGGGTAAGTAATATTTAATTAAATCGCAAATTTTTATAAAAAATCGTAAATATGCCTTAAACAGTAATGTTTACAGTTGATCCTTAGCGACATACATACAGTTTTTCTGGTTGCCTAAATTTGTAACTCAGTGTTTAAATTTTTCATGTCAAGGTTCCTAAGAGTACGCAGGCAAAGAGTACGCATGCGAACTCTTAGGATTCGTGCGTACTCTTAGGGACACATGAAATGACTTCTTATTATTTGTTTTAGTTTGTTATAATGGGTAAATACAAGCGAAAGAGCGATAGATCATTAAAATTTACTCAAGAAATCATCGACCAAGCAAGGGACCGCATCGCAAAAGGGGAAAGTAAAAGATCGGTCGCAAAGTCCTTTCATGTGAATGAGTGTACATTAAGAAAAAGATTGCGAGAGGTAATAATAAACTGACGATTTTAACGTCAAAATGCAATTTTATTTTTATTTTAGGGTACTATTCCATCTAGTCTGGGTAGATTTAAGCCTGTATTTTCACAAGCACAGGAAAAGGAATTGGCTGACCATATCAAAGATCTAGATAACAGATTTTATGGACTGCGTATGAAAGATGTTAGGTACTTGGCCTTTCAGTATGCAGAATTAAATAAAATTCCGCATAGGTTTAATACAGAAAACAAGATGGCGGGGAAACACTGGGTACAAGATTTTGCAGCAAGAAATACTTTGTCTCTCAGAGCTCCAGAAAAATGCAGCTTAGGTCGCGCTATCGGCTTTAATAAAGTTCAGTGTCAACGCTTTTTCGAAAATTTAAAAATAGTTTACGAAAAATTAAAACTACCACCACACAGGATCTTTAATATGGACGAGACGGGATTATCTACCGTACCAAACAAGCTCCCAAAAGTTTATGCTTGTAAAGGGAAGAAAACTGTGTCAAAAGTTGTATCAGGTGAACGAGGTCAGCTAGTTACGGCTGTATGCTGCATGAGCGCTGGTGGTACTTGGGTTCCGCCAGGTCTTATTTTCGCAAGAAAAAGAATGAAGGAGGAACTTTTTTTTGGAGCACCTCCTGGGACATTAAAAATGATCTCAGATTCAGGTTATATGAACACTGATTTGTTTGTAATTTGGTTGCGACATTTTTGCGACTTTGTAAAACCATCCGAAACAGATCCAGTGGTTTTAATAATGGACAATCACACATCTCATTGCTCATTGGAGACCATTTTATTCTCTAGAAGTCATTTTATAACGCTACTAACCCTACCTCCTCATGCAAGCCATAAAATTCAACCCTTAGATAAAGGATTTTTCTTTCCCTTAAAAACAGCTTTTTCAAACGAATGCGATAAATGGATGGTCAACAACCCTGGACGCCCTATTACTTTAAAAGAAATGGCTGCCATTTTCCATTTTGCTTATTCAAAAGTCACTACTATAGAAATATGTGAAAAATCATTTGCTTGCACTGGGTTGTTTCCTTATAACCCAGACGTTTTTAGTGATTTAGATTTTGCTCCATCTGAGGTCACAAACAGACCACATCTAGACCTGGCCCAAGAAACTCAATCTGAAATACAAAGAATCGAATCATCTGTTGAAGAGAGTTCATTTGATGACGATTGCACTCTTGCAGAAGTAAGAAATACCATAATAAAAGAAAACTTAAAATTAACCGAAGAAAAGCAATCTACGATTCCCGAACCACAAAGTTCAGACGTTACTGAAAGTACAGCTTACTTTAAAGCAGCTCCTAAGGAACTAAGTGAACCAGGTACAAGTGGCTATATCCCGCCTAAAAACGATAAGGAAAAATTATTTGAAAATGAGCAAACTAGAACACCAAGTCCAAAAAGTACAGGCTTTACCAAAATTTCAACTTATGTTGAGGCTACGTCTGCGGCACCGATTGATCTAGGTTTAAGTGTTTGTATTACTCCTAAAATGATTTTACCGTTACCAAAAGCTACCCATGAACAAGTAAGAAGAACTAAATCTAAAAAGTCGGAAATCCTGTCATCTACCCCATACAAAGACAAATTGTTGGAAGAAAAAGATAGGCGTAAAGAAGGCCTAAAGAAAAAGGGAGGAAAAAGAAAAGTTTTTGGTGATTCTGGGCAAAATACAGAAATCCAGAAGAAGAAAAAAGTTGACAATGAAAAAGACAATACGATTTGTCCCGGATGTTCCGAGCATTATTCTACATCCGATTGGATTAAGTGTCACTTGTGTCAAACATGGTGGCATGATGACTGCTCTAATTATCTAGGAAATGGCCTATTTTCTTGTGACTTATGCCTACATTTAAAAGAATAAGTTTAGGTACAGCCAATTGGGCGATATATCTTACCGCGTACTCTTTGGTTTACATGCGTACTCTTTAGGACACAATTGAGTACTCTTAAGGAACCTGTATCCTAAGAGTACGCATTTTATTGTTTTTGTTTAAACTTTTATATTTTCGTTAAATGTTAAAATGTATGGCAAAATTTGTCTTTTAAGTTTAGATTAGTATGTAAGCTAAAATATTTTGAATAAAAATTTCAACTTAAAGCATTTCAATTATTTTTAAACAAAGTAAATTGGTTAAGTGCGTACTCTTGTGCGATCCTACCCTATTATAATTTATAGTCCGGGGAGCCTCAACAAAAAAAAAAAGTTTTGAAACCCTGGTATAGTCCAAAGGCTCGCTTAACAGAGGGTTGCTGTGCGATTTCGCTTGATTATAACGTCGCTACGAATCTAGGTTAATTCGATCTCAATGAGCCACCTTATGGTCGCAGTGAAATGGCCTGATTGGAGCCACACCAAGGGACGTTATTAATTTTTGATCTTCTACTTTTTAGAATCTGCAGCCTGTGATTTTGATTTTCAATCCTTCAGTATGGTTTTTTGTGAAAATTCTGTGGTCCAAGATACTTTTAACAAGTTCAGAGCTTCTAATTGTGGGCGATTTTAAAACTGCGACGTATTAATACTTAGAAAGCGCCGATCTATCTTACGTTTGAATGAAGTAATATTGCGACTACGTCCATACTGAGTATAATCGTCCGAGATTCACCATAACATTATTTCATAACCAAACAGGAAATGGCTGCGGGCAAATAATATTAGTCATTTTATGCACTAATTATTGGGTTCTTACTACTTCTAATTACTAATAATGATGGTAGTTATAATTTATTGCGATGCAAATATAAAAATTTACAAGGCGCGCTATTTTTCACTATTCGATTGAACCTCGAATACTTCCACTAAACGAATAAACTGTGGAAT